TGAACATTTGACAGATTTATGCTTAAATTCAAACCTTGAAGCTACAAGATACAAAACATTTGTTTCTCCCTCTCACCACCCGCCTTTTTTTTAGAATTTTCTCGACTTGAAAAAGCCTTGTCCTTGGATATCTGTACTTTTTGTAACTCTTTCTCATAAAAAGTCCCCTTGATCTCTTCTCCATCATAATCTTTGAGTTTGTAAACAGGTGGCTGTCGAGGTAAGCCTTCAGACACCGTAAATAACTCGTCCGTATAACTCTGCTCATATTTTTTATCGAATACTCCTCTCAATTTGGATATCCTTACAAGCTCCCCCTCCTTAAAGTTCATTTTGACAGCAGCTTTTTTACGAAGGCTGGAGGGGTTATATAGATTCCGAAACACTTGAGCCGCATTCTCCTTGGTTACCTGCAGTGGCGTCATTTTAATACTTCGGTGATAACTATTATTGTAACTTTCAAGTAGTTCGGGTAAGACGTCTATCTATGAGTGTTTTTAGCTGTAAAATACCTCCACATTTTAGTTTTCAGCGTACGGTTAAATCTCTCTATCACACATGCCTTCATATCACTGGCGGTTGCATAATGTGCTATACCTCGTTTCTTCATAAAGTTTTGAAAAACTTTATTAAAGAATTCTTTCCCCGCGTCTGTTTGTATCTTTTTAGGAATCTCACTGTGTGTTAAAATTGTATCAAAGGCTTGGGTAACCTCAATACCCGTCTTCTTCTTTAATGCCTGAGCATAGGCTTTTTTCGAAAATACATCTACGACTGTTAACAAATAATTAAAACCATCATTATATTCGGACAGCCTTTATTCAACCAGGTGAAAGCCCCTTGAGATCAAAAGATAATCGCAGAGATCTGCTTGAAATTGCTGCGGCGGTCTGAGTACGGAAACTCTGTTTCTTACAAAATGCTCCCGAGCCGGCTTGTGTAAAGTATATGCATCCTGCTCAGATACATATTCTCTGACTTTCTCTACATTTACTTGTTTACCCATTTCATTCTGTACAGCTCTATGGAGTTTATCCACACCTCCTAAACTCCCTGGATTAGAAGGAGTGTAATACAGCCTTTGCATGACACGTTTCTCAGACATGTTCCCTTTTACAGCCGATGAGGTAATGAGTACAACAGTTTTTCTCTAACTGTAAATATTTTGTCGTCTTATATAGACCATCAAATAACAGAGCCTTGTCACCCCTCAAAAAGAAACTGACCAATCGATGAGTCCTTTTATCCAGGTAATTAGCTATGCGTCTTTCTGCCCCCCAGAAATGACTATTTAAATGTACCCTCAGACTGTTGATGGAGGTTGATGCATATCCAGCCACCCTGGAGCCGTCATGGAGTGAATAGGAAACACATTTAGAAAACTTCTCTTTTATGGCTACAGCAGAGTTCTGATATCACCACCTCATATGGGGTTTCCTCACAATACCATGTTTTTAATTTGTTTTATTATTTCCTTCTTCAGAGAGACTTTTCTTATAGTTAATAAAAGGTAATTACACATTAGTTCACAAATCCATATACTAAAAGAGAATACCCTTAGGTATCACTAAAAAACTAAATAAGATCTTTTGAAAATAACCTCTTTGCAAAAACAGATACTTCTTTAACAGTTTCACAAAAACTTGAAAAGAAACATCCTTAGCCAGCACACACCATTTAAAACAGACCCTGAATCAAATCTAGAGAGGACAATAACGTTTTAGATGTCTTGGTGAGTGAAAAATAATGGCTGTTTTTATTTAATTTGAGTTTATTTCTTTTTTAAAACTAACTTCATTTCTCTCTTCTCCTCTTCTCCACAGAGAGTGTCTTAATTAACATAGGCATTTACACCCCGGCTATCTCAACCCCCCACATCTGGTTGTGTGTGTGTGTGTGTGTGTGTGTGAATTGTTCTTTAAGGTAAGGGTTAGATAATTTGGAGAATTTACAGTCAAACCAGGGAAAGTCTGTCACTTCCTCACAGAGCCCCTCCTCCAACACACATGAACGCGCATGACCAAAAGGGGGCGCGAGATAAGTTTGTGCACAGAGACCCCCGCATTGCTGCTGATGCATTCGTTTCTTGACGCTCCGGACGGATGCGGTAAGCTGACTGATTAACCCCATTCGAGGCGTCTCTTGGCCATTTTTCTTTTTTGAAAAGGTGGGTAAATGGAATTGCTGTCTTTTTATTTAGTTTGCGCATATTTCTAATCCCACCCCCCCACTATCTGCCTGCGTCATAGCCCGGAAGGGGGGAGAGGCTAGGAGGGGGCTGGTAGACAGTCTCACCTAACTTCAAGAGACACCTAAATTAACATCAGAGGCTTACAACACCTCATAGATTAGACTTCATAATTATACAACTCTGAGGGGACAGGGGCCAGACAGCATAAAGAGACTTAATCAACTCCTAAATTAACATCAGAGGCTTATAACACACCGGTGTGAAGTCACACATACCTGATATAACACCTCCCGTCAAAGGACTAGACTTCATAATTATACAACTCTGAGGGGACAAGGGGCCAGACAACACAAAGAGACTTAATCAACACATCAAAGAATTAGACAACAAAGGCGCTAGCCCCGGGCTTTTCACATGACACAAAAGGATCTCTAACAAAGGCACTACACAGGGGGGCATTTCACACCTACGTGTGATGATACCTCACCCCCCACATCAAAGGATCTCACACCTACGTGTGAATTCACACCTAGGTGTAACATCCACCTCGAACAAAGGGAGGCGGGACTTAGCTAATTAACATAAGTAGGGAGAGGTGTGACCTGTCACACCACCTGTCACTTTTCTTGCATACTAATGTGATTGAAGGGGCATGTGTACTACTACTCCCTGTCGTGAGATCGGATCACTCAGTGATGATACTATATACCTAAATAATCTATGGAACCTCAGCTTTAATCGGATATCTTGTAAGTGCAGCTACGATAAGTAATAAGGGTACTTTTATCTTGAGTTCTGTGCCAAAGTGCTTTAGCATTTTTCGCTCAGGGGTCATTTAGATGCTTCGTATGAGACTTGTGTTTTGGTAAAAATGGTTTGTATCGTCAGTTAGCTGAGATTATTCCCGTTAATCTGGTATGACACATTAATAGGTTCTTAAATATTACGATCCCCTGAGACAGTGTCGTGAAAAAAAAAGGACCCGCCGAGGGGGGCTTTGGGGCTTAACATGAATAGAATATCAGCTCCATCTTCAGAGCAATCTGACTATTATAACATTAGCGTTAAGAAAGCTTACTGAAATATCTGCCACAACATAAGTAACCGGATCAGAGTCACATTAAGTACAGTCCATATCACTTCATAATGTATCATCTCCTGATCTGAGTCAGCTGAGCCGTATCTGGCCGTGCAACACTCACAGCGTCACAGACTGGATGCAGAAGCATTATTTGAAGCAACACATTAAGTTGAGGAAACACTGGAGTCAAATGTAATGAAAGTCAGATGGTGTCTTAGACGGGCAGTGATATCATAAAGCTGTTAATGTACGCATTCAAACACTTGTTCTGTTCCCAGCTGTGTTCACCTTGCAGGTGCAGCTCTGTGGCTTTGATCCTGGATCAAGTGTTTAAGTCATGGATGTTTCAACTTTAACTTCTTCATATGTCTAATATTAGAGTTCACTGTTCATTCAGGAAGTATGACGCTGCGCTGTCAGTACGCTTCTCCATGTTTGTGATTGGTCGAATGTTGCTAGCCCCGCCCCTTTCATGTGAACGCGCACTCTGCCGGACAGAGACACCCTGGCTTGAGTTACCGAGTTGATAACCAGCGTCGTAGGACCGCTTAGCGAGAGCGCGTATGTTTTGGATTAGGTAAGCCGGGTAACTCAAACATATCCAGGGTCTGTTGAATTGGCTTCAGAGTACAGGCCTCTGTCCAGGTGAGGATTGTTGTTGTGATGTGTTTACCTGTCCAGGTGAGGATTGTTGTTGTGATGTGTTTACCTGTCCAGGTGAGGATTGTTGTTGTGATGTGTTTACCTGTCCAGGTGAGGATTGTTGTTGTGGTGTGTTTACCTGTCTCCAGGTGTGGATCCCGTGCCCTCAGTGCAGGCAGAACACCCCTCGGCCCCGGGGGGGGGCAGCAGGTCTGGACCTGGACCTGGTCTCCTTCCTGGGGGTGAAGCAGCAGGCGGCCCCCCCCAAGGCGGCCCCCCCCCTGCAGGCGGCCCCCCGGTTGGGCTCTCTGAGGGACAGGAAGCCCTGGAAAGAGTTCCCCCCCGAGGACAGCTGGGCTCACGGAGGACTGGCCGAGCCACGCTTCCATCGCTACGGCAACTGCTGCCCGCCGCCTTCCTATTGGTTGTGCTGCTGGTTCTGCTGCCGGGGGCGGGGCTAGGGCCGGCCAATGAGAGAGAGGCTCGGCTGAGTTTTAATAAACAGTTACGGGCCGTCCACACAGCGGCGTGTGTTGAAGCTTCAACGCTTCTGCCCGTTCACTTTGAATGGGGTGACGTCACGCTTCGCCGAACTGCATTGTGGGAGCGTCGCTACGCGTTGCTCGCTACGCGTTGCTCGCTACGCGTTGCTCGCTGCAAAAGTTGAGCAATGTTCAACTTTTGAAGCTTCGACGGAAGCGTCAGCCAATGGAATCATATGCCAGTACAAGCTCTAGCCAATCAAACCGCATGCTTGTGTGTCTGGGGCGGGAGATGCATGTGATTGGTTGTTGGTCGAGTTTCAGACACGCCCACCTGCAAGCTTCAGCGCACGCCGCCGTGTGGACGGCCCATTAGGATTCGTTTAGAAATAAAGCAACAGATGAGTTCAACGGGTTCAGACGCCTGCAGGTTACCGTCTTTAACCTCTAAAAGATAAGAAGTATTATTAGCGTTTATATTTTCACTCTGATATTTCTTAGACTAACGTAGCAATATTTCTACTTTGTACTTCTGCAGATCTTCAGTACTGTATTCATATAATATATCACGTGGTTTGCATTGTGAGTGAAATAAAGACAGAGCTGCTGTGAAAGAAATATTTATTAATAATTACATATTTTACAAAAGTAAAGAAACTGAACGGTTAGCATCTTCTGTTGTTGAGAACAATAAAGTTTTAACATTCAAACTGTGGACGGAGAAACTTGTTATAATGTTACCGTTAGTTTAACAGTTTATGTGTTTGATATGTTTACAGTTTATAATGTGTTTGTTAAATCTGATGTGTGGTTTTAGAGATTAAACAAACGCGTGTTGAGTCTCTGGAAGAACAACATGGAGACAGAACAGAAAAACATAAAAGTAACACTTTTGGCATTTTCCCTTCAGGAGGCACAAGGCATTCTGGGAGTTTGAGTCCGCTTTATGTCCCCAGCAGCGTCTTATTTTGTAGAGAATACATAATGCTTAGAAATAATCTATAAAATCTTTCTTTCATCGTTCAAAATCAGGCCCCTCCCTCTGAGTCTGCAGCTCGGCCAATCAGAGGCCGCCGAGCTGTCCAATCAGAGGCCGCCGAGCCGTCGAACCAGAGGCCATTTAGCCATCCAATCAGAGGCCATCTAGTCGTCCAATCAGAGGCCATCTAGTCGTCCAATCAGAGGCCATCTAGTCGTCCAATCAGAGGCCATCTAGTCGTCCAATCAGAGGCCATCTAGTCGTCCAATCAGTGGTCATCTAGTCGTCCAATCAGAGGCCATTGAGTTGTCCAATCAGAGGCTGCCGAGCCCCTCCCCCACCCTGATTTTCTGGCCCGGCTGGAGGTCGAAGCTGAAGTCTTTGGGCGCCTCGAACAGCAGCACGATGGTAGAGCCGAGGTTAAACTCCCCCACTGCCGCCCCCCGCTGCAAGACCACGCCTTCCCCCGAGGCCACGCCCCCTTCATCTGCCGCCTTCAGCACCTGGTCGTCAAGGGCAACATAGCTGCGGTCGTGGAAAGAGCCTTTACTGTAGCGGGGAGCGTTGGTCTGAAGATCCTGAGAACAAGAGGGAGACTGTTACCGAGGGAGACTGTTACCGAGGGACACTGTTAACGAGGGACACTGTTACTGAGGGAGACTGTTAACGAGGGACACTGTTAACGAGGGACACTGTTAACGAGGGACACTGTTAACGAGGTTCACTGTTAACGAGGGACACTGTTAACGAGGGAAACTGTTAACGAGGTTCACTGTTAACGAGGGACACTGTTAACGAGGGACACTGTTAACGAGGGACACTGTTAACGAGGGACACTGTTAACGAGGTTCACTGTTAACGAGGGACACTGTTAACGAGGGACACTGTTAACGAGGGAAACTGTTAACGAGGTTCACTGTTAACGAGGGACACTGTTAACGAGGGACACTGTTAACGAGGGACACTGTTAACGAGGGACACTGTTAACGAGGGACACTGTTAACGAGGGACACTGTTAACGAGGGACACTGTTAACGAGGGACACTGTTAACGAGGGACACTGTTAACGAGGGAAACTGTTAACGAGGGACACTGTTACCGAGGGAGACTGTTAACGAGGAACACTGTTAACGAGGGAAACTGTTACCGAGGGACACTGTTAACGAGGGACACTGTTACCGAGGGAGACTGTTACCGAGGGACACTGTTAACGAGGTTCACTGTTAACGAGGGAAACTGTTACCGAGGGAGACTGTTAACGAGGGAGAGTGTTAACGAGGGACACTGTTACCGAGGGACATTGTTAACGAGGGAGTGTTACGAGGGACATTGTTAACGAGGGACACTGTTACCGAGGGACACTGTTAACGAGGGATACTGTTAACGAGGGAGACTGTTACCGAGGGAGAGTGTTATCGAGGGACACTGTTACAGAGGGAGAGTGTTAACGAGGGACACTGTTACCGAGGGACACTGTTAACGAGGGGCAGTGTTACCGAGGGAGAGTGTTAACGAGGGAGACTGTTAACGAGGGACACTGTTACAGAGGGACACTGTTAACGAGGGACACTGTTAACGAGGGACACTGTTAACGAGGGACACTGTTACAGAGGGAGACTGTTAACGAGGGACACCGTTAACGAGGGACACCGTTAACGAGGGACACTGTTACCGAGCAGGGCTCGACAGTAACGGTTGCCAGGCAACCTTTCAGAAAAAACGTCCACCATTTCTTGGCCTTTGGTTGCCATCAGTGGTCTATGGTGGGGGTCAGCACAAAGGTCAAGACTTCAATGCTGAAGGGCCAGTGGATCTATGGTGGGGGTCAGCACAAAGGTCAAGACTTCAATGCTGAAGGGCCAGTGGATCTATGGTGGGGGTCAGCACAGAGGTCAAGACTTCAATGCTGAAGGGCCAGTGGATCTATGGTGGGGGTCAGCACAGAGGTCAAGACTTCAATGCTGAAGGGCCAGTGGATCTATGGTGGGGGTCAGCACAGAGGTCAAGACTTCAATGCTGAAGGGCCAGTGGATCTATGGTGGGGGTCAGCACAGAGGTCAAGACTTCAATGCTGAAGGGCCAGTGGATCTATGGTGGGGGTCAGCACAGAGGTCAAGACTTCAATGCTGAAGGGCCAGTGGATCTATGGTGGGGGTCAGCACAGAGGTCAAGACTTCAATGCCGAAGGGCCAGTGGATCTATGGTGGGGGTCAGCACAGAGGTCAAGACTTCAATGCTGAAGGGCCAGTGGATCTATGGTGGGGGTCAGCACAGAGGTCAAGACTTCAATGCTGAAGGGCCAGTGGATCTATGGTGGGGGTCAGCACAGAGGTCAAGACTTCAATGCTGAAGGGCCAGTGGATCTATGGTGGGGGTCAGCACAGAGGTCAAGACTTCAATGCCGAAGGGCCAGTGGATCTATGGTGGGGGTCAGCACAGAGGTCAAGACTTCAATGCCGAAGGGCCAGTGGATCTATGGTGGGGGTCAGCACAGAGGTCAGGACAACCCAAATTTGAAAGGGGGACAACAGATGACCAAGAAACTAGTGACTTGCTCAATTCCTTTGTGGATCTGTGAAGAACAGCAGCTGCACTCCTGGTGTTTCATATACCAGCCATTGAGGGTGGACACGTTTCCTCCCACTTAGGTTTCAAATCATTGTGTTAATTACTTATTGTAAAGCATTTGAACATTCTTTTGTGTCACATGTTCGTTATAAAGTTGATGTATAACTGTATAGTATCTTAATTATTTAAAATATAAGGTGTCTAAAAATGGCAACAGTATTTTCAGTTTTGGCAACCAAAATCTGATGCCTGGTTGCCTGGCAACCACTTTTAAAAGTTAGCTTTGAGCCCTGCCGAGGGACACTGTTAACGAGGGAGACTGTTACAGAGGGACACTGTTAACGAGGGAGACTGTTACAGAGGGAGACTGTTAACGAGTGATACTGTTAACGAGGGACACTGTTAACGAGGGACACTGTTACAGAGGGACACTGTTAGCGAGGGACACTGTTAACGAGGGACACTGTTACCGAGGGACACTGTTAGCGAGGGACACTGTTACCGAGGGACACTGTTAGCGAGGGACACTGTTAGCGAGGGAGACTGTTAACGAGGGACACTGTTAACGAGGGACACTGTTACCGAGGGACACTGTTAGCGAGGGAGACTGTTAGCGAGGGACACTGTTACCGAGGGAGACTGTTACCGAGGGACACTGTTAACGAGGGACACTGTTACAGAGGGACACTGTTAACGAGGGACACTGTTAACGAGGGAGACTGTTACCGAGGGACACTGTTAACGAGGGACACTGTTAACGAGGGACACTGTTAACGAGGGACACTGTTAACGAGGGATACTGTTACAGAGGGACACTGTTAACGAGGGAGACTGTTAACGAGTGATACTGTTAACGAGGGACACTGTTAACGAGGGACACTGTTACAGAGGGACACTGTTAGCGAGGGACACTGTTAACGAGGGAGACTGTTACCGAGGGACACTGTTAGCGAGGGACACTGTTACCGAGGGACACTGTTAGCGAGGGACACTGTTAGCGAGGGAGACTGTTAACGAGGGACACTGTTAACGAGGGACACTGTTACCGAGGGACACTGTTAGCGAGGGAGACTGTTAGCGAGGGACACTGTTACCGAGGGAGACTGTTACCGAGGGACACTGTTAACGAGGGACACTGTTACAGAGGGACACTGTTAACGAGGGACACTGTTAACGAGGGAGACTGTTACCGAGGGACACTGTTAACGAGGGACACTGTTAACGAGGGACACTGTTAACGAGGGACACTGTTAACGAGGGATACTGTTACCGAGGGACACTGTTAACGAGGGATACTGTTAACGAGGGATACTGTTAACGAGGGACACTGTTAATGAGGGACATTGTTAACGAGGGAGACTGTTAACGAGGGACACTGTTAACGAGCGACACTGTTAACGAGGAACTCTATTTTATTAACAGGAAGTAAATACATCAACATTTATTTCAGAATAAAGCAGAGTGCTCCTCACCTGGTCGAAGTAGACCCTGATGGAGCCCACGTTGGTGGCCCCCACCGCCGTTAACGAGAAGAAACCGTGCTGCCATTGGCCGCTCAGAGCCACACGCTCGTTAAGACAGAAGAGCTCTTTAACGAGCCGAGCCACGCCCGGGTTCACAGACATCAGAGAGCCTAACGAGACAGACAGGTGGGACAGGTGAGACAGACAGGTGGGATAGGTGAAACAGACAGGTGAGACAGACAGGTAAGACAGGTGAGACAGGAGAGAAAGACAGGTGAGACAGACAGGTGAGAGAGGTGAGAGACAGACAGGTGAGAGAGGTGAGACAGGAGAGACGGATAGGTGAGACAGGGTCGGAGTTAGGAACAGGAAGTGGTTCTCACCTGGGAAGTGTCGCCTCAGCTCCACCCTCCAGTCTGTAGGTGAGTGGAAGCAGTGATAGTCACCTGGAGCCAGGTAGACCACCACGTGGAACAGGTCGTTCTGAGGAGAGGACAGCAGCAGGTCCTGGAAGGACCGGGACGCGTCTGTGGAGAGACAGGGACCGTTAGGACCAGAACCATCAGGACCAGAACCATCAGGATAAGACCCATTAGGACCTGAACCAGAACCATCAGGACCAGAACCATCAGAACCAGAACCATCAGGACCAGAACCATCAGGACCAGAACCAGAACCATCAGGACCAGAACCATCAGGACAAGACCCATTAGGACCTGAACCAGAACCATCAGGATCATCAGGACCAGAACCATCAGGACCAGAACCATCAGAACCAGAACCATCAGGACAAGACCCATTAGGACCTGAACCAGAACCATCAGGATCATCAGGACCAGAACCATCAGAACCAGAACCATCAGGACCAGAACCAGAACCATCAGAACCATCAGGACCAGAACCATCAGGACCAGAACCAGAACCATTAGGACCAGAACCAGAATCAGGACCACAGGTAAGTAACGCACAGGTGAGTAACCAGCTGGGGAACACACATCTTCCGGGGCAGACTGAAAACTCATCTCTTTCGACTCCACTTCGAGGGATAGAATTACTAACAAAGCACTTTTATACTAATAAAGGACTGGCTTATCTAAAGCCAGTTGAGTAGCAGTTGAAATGTTTGGCTCTATGAAACCTGATGTACTTTATGATTCTGTTTCCTTCAAGGTTGTGTCTTCCTGGTCGAATGCACTTATTGTAAGTCGCTTTGGATAAAAGCGTCAGCTAAATGCAATGTAATGTAATGTAATGGAACAGCTCACCTTGGCTCCGCCCCCTCTGAGGACCCAGGAAGTGCTCCAGGCTGTAGGTCACTCCCTTCACCTGCTCAACCTGAGAGTTCTGCACTCGACCAAAGTGAAGAATCCTGCCGTCAGCCGGAGAAATCTGAGGAAGAGGAGCAGACAGGAAGTGGTGAGGAAGAGGAGCAGACAGGAAGTGGTGAGGAAGAGGAGGAAGATGAGGAAGAGTTACCAGGCAGGAGGAGGCGCAGAGAGGTCTGACTGCAGGTTTGAGTTGTCGTCTGAAGAACTCTCCCAGGTTTCTGTAGTGATGAAGATCCTCCACTGCTGCCTCCTGACGGAACAATACAGTTAGGAAGCTAATGCTAATGATGCTAAAGCTAATGATGCTAAAGCTATGGTATACCTGCATGTTGACCCCGAAGGTCCAGATGTACAGAGAGTAGACATGCTAAAGCTAATGATGCTAAAGCTATGGTATGCCTGCATGTTGACCCCGAAGGTCCAGATGTACAGAGAGTAGACATGCTAAAGCTAATGATGCTAAAGCTATGGTATACCTGCATGTTGACCCCGAAGGTCCAGATGTACAGAGTAGACATGCTAAAGCTAATGATGCTAAAGCTAATGATGCTAAAGCTATGGTATGCCTGCATGTTGACCCCGAAGGTCCAGATGTACAGAGTAGACATGCTAAAGCTAATGATGCTAAAGCTAATGATGCTAAAGCTATGGTATGCCTGCATGTTGACCCCGAAGGTCCAGATGTACAGAGTAGACATGCTAAAGCTAATGATGCTAAAGCTAATGATGCTAAAGCTATGGTATGCCTGCATGTTGACCCCGAAGGTCCAGATGTACAGAGTAGACATGCTAAAGCTAATGATGCTAAAGCTAATGATGCTAAAGCTATGGTATGCCTGCATGTTGACCCCGAAGGTCCAGATGTACAGAGTAGACATGCTAAAGCTAATGATGCTAAAGCTAATGATGCTAAAGCTATGGTATGCCTGCATGTTGACCCCAAAGGTCCAGATGTACAGAGTAGACATGCTAAAGCTAATGATGCTAAAGCTAATGATGCTAAAGCTATGGTATGCCTGCATGTTGACCCCGAAGGTCCAGATGTACAGAGAGTAGACATGCTAAAGCTAATGATGCTAAAGCTAATGATGCTAAAGCTATGGTGTACCTGCATGTTGACCCCGAAGGTCTAGATGTACAGAGAGTAGACATGCTAAAGCTAATGATGCTAAAGCTATGGTATGCCTGTATGTTGACCCCGAAGGTCCAGATGTACAGAGAGTAGACATGCTAAAGCTAATGATGCTAAAGCTATGGTATGCCTGTATGTTGACCCCGAAGGTCTAGATGTACAGAGAGTAGACATGCTAAAGCTAATGATGCTAAAGCTATGGTATGCCTGTATGTTGACCCCGAAGGTCCAGATGTACAGAGAGTAGACATGCTAAAGCTAATGATGCTAAAGCTATGGTATGCCTGTATGTTGACCCCGAAGGTCTAGATGTACAGAGAGTAGACATGCTAAAGCTAATGATGCTAAAGCTATGGTATGCCTGTATGTTGACCCTGAAGGTCCAGATGTACAGAGAGTAGACATGCTAAAGCTAATGATGCTAAAGCTATGGTATGCCTGTATGTTGACCCCAAAGGTCCAGATGTACAGAGAGTAGACATGCTAAAGCTAATGATGCTAAAGCTAATGATGCTAAAGCTATGGTATACCTGCATGTTGACCCCGAAGGTCCAGATGTACAGAGAGTAGACGGGCTTCCTCAGCCAGGTGGGCAGCTCCACGCCGTTCAGACGGCCCCAGGCTCTGGAGAGGAGGCGGGTCGGGAAGGAGTGGTACAGCGCCACCTGCAGGACAAACAGGGGAGTGACATCATCTGGAGTTTATCTGATGAGGATGATGATGATGTTACTCACATGCAGGACAAACAGGTGGGTATCATCAGACAGATGATGGTACACATGGAGCTGCTGTGATGCAAGTCAAATGTCAGACTTGATCTGACCATTAACGTATTATCGTATCATCTGAACACTGTTAACGAGGGACACTGTTACAGAGGGAGAGTGTTAACGAGGGAGACTGTTACCGAGGGACAGTGTTAACGAGGGACACTGTTACCGAGGGACACTGTTAACGAGGGACATTGTTACCGAGGGACACTGTTAACGAGGGAGAGTGTTAACGAGGGACACTGTTAACGAGGGACATTGTTAACGAGGGACACTGTTACCGAGGGACACTGTTAACGAGGGACACTGTTAACGAGGGACATTGTTACCGAGGGACACTGTTACCGAGGGACATTGTTAACGAGGGACACTGTTACCGAGGGACACTGTTAACGAGGGAGACTGTTACCGAGGGACACTGTTACCGAGGGACATTGTTAACGAGGGAGACTGTTAACGAGGGACACTGTTAACGAGGGACACCGTTAACGAGGGACACTGTTACCGAGCAGGGCTCGACAGTAACGGTTGCCAGGCAACCTTTCAGAAAAAACGTCCACCATTTCTTGGCCTTTGGTTGCCATCAGTGGTCTATGGTGGGGGTCAGCACAAAGGTCAAGACTTCAATGCTGAAGGGCCACTGGATCTATGGTGGGGGTCAGCACAAAGGTCAAGACTTCAATGCTGAAGGGCCAGTGGATCTATGGTGGGGGTCAGCACAGAGGTCAATACTTCAATGCTGAAGGGCCAGTGGATCTATGGTGGGGGTCAGCACAGAGGTCAAGACTTTGGCTAATGTCAGACTTGATCTGACCATTAACGTATTATCGTATCATCTGAAGTCATGTTTATCTGACGATAGAATCACAAAAGAGGAAGGGACTCATAATTCCTATTTTTCACAGTCAGCGTCCCTCTCCACTTTGTGTGAAGAAGCAAAGATACCTCAACATGACTCAGCACTTTCTACAGACACTGTGATGACTCAGATCTCAGTACCAGGGTAAGACAACAAACCAGAAAACAAAACAGGGGAAGAAGAAAGGAGGACGGTCGTTTCTGCCCCTCTCCTTTCCCTTCGTCCAATCAGAAGCCAAAAGCTCTTACCCGTTTGGCCAGTGGCCGCAGAGCTCTGACTGACAGGAAGTAGCAGAGGAAGGCGATTGGCCGACGGCGCCAAGGGGCGGAGCGAGAAACACGACCACTGAGCGCGCTCAGACGGTGCCGGAGAGCCAATCGAGGCATCAGGAGCCTGATCATGGTAATAAGATATAATCATGAGATGGTCATGGGTTGGTCATGAGTTGGTCATGTGATGGTCATGAGTTGGTCGTGGGATGGTCATGAGTTGGTCGTGGGATGGTCATGGGTTGGTCATGTGATGGTCATGTGATGGTCATGAGTTGGTCGTGGGATGGTCGTGAGTTGGTCGTGGGATGGTCATGAGTTGGTCGTGGGATGGTCATGGGTTGGTCATGAGTTGGTCATGTGATGGTCATGAGTTGGTCGTGGGATGGTCATGAGTTGGTCGTGGGATGGTCATGGGTTGGTCATGGGTTGGTCATGTGATGGTCATGTGATGGTCATGAGTTGGTCGTGAGTTGGTCATGGGATGGTCATGAGTTGGTCGTGGGATGGTCGTGGGATGGTCATGGGATGGTCATGGGATAGTCACGTGATGGTCATGTGATGGTCATGAGTTGGTCATGGGATGGTCATGAGTTGGTCACGAGATGGTCATGGGATGGTCATGAGTTGGTCACGTGATGGTCATGTGATGGTCATGAGTTGGTCATGGGATGGTCATGAGTTGGTCACGAGATGGTCATGGGATGGTCATGAGTTGGTCATGGGATGGTCATGGGATGGCCATGAGTTGGTCGTGGGATGGTCGTGAGTTGGTCATGGGTTGGTCATGAAATGGTCATGGGATGGTCATGGGATGGTCATGAGTTGGTCATGAGATGGTCATGGGATGGTCATGAGTTGGTCATGAGATGGTCATGAGATGGTCATGGGATGGTCATGGGATGGTCACGAGATAGTCATGGGATGGTCATGAGTTGGTCACGAGATGGTCATGAGTTGGTCATGGGATGGTCATGTGATGGTCATGAGATAGTCATGGGATGGTCATGAGTTGGTCACGAGATGGTCATGAGTTGGTCATGGGATGGTCATGAGTTGGTCATGGGATGGTCATGAGTTGGTCATGAGATGGTCATGGGTTGGTCACGTGATGGTCATGAGTTGGTCATGGGATGGTCATGGGATGGTCATGAGTTGGTCACGAGATGGTCATGGGATGGTCATGGGATGGTCATGAGTTGGTCATGGGTTGGTCATGAGTTGGTCATGGGATGGTCATGAGTTGGTCATGAGATGGTCATGGGTTGGTCACGTGATGGTCATGTGATGGTCATGAGTTAGTCATGGGATGGTCATGGGATGGTCATGAGTTGGTCATGGGATGGTCATGAGTTGGTCATGAGTTGGTCACGTGATGGTCATGGGATGGTCATGAGTTGGTCATTGGATGGTCATGGGATGGTCATGAGTTGGTCATGAGTTGGTCACGGGATGGTCACGAGATGGTCATGGGTTGGTTATGTGATGGTCATGAGATAGTCATGGGATGGTCATGAGTTGGTCACGAGATGGTCATGGGATGGTCATGAGTTGGTCATGGGATGGTCATGAGTTGGTCACGAGATAGTCATGGGATGGTCACGAGTTGGTCATGAGTTGGTCATGGGATGGTCATGAGTTGGTCATGAGTTGGTCATGGGATGGTCATGAGTTGGTCATGTGATGGTCATGAGTTGGTCATGAGTTGGTCATGTGATGGTCACGAGTTGGTCATGAGTTGGTCATGGGATGGTCATGAGTTGGTCATGAGTTGGTCATGGGATGGTCATGAGTTGGTCATGAGTTGGTAATGGGATGGTCATGAGTTGGTCATGAGTTGGTCATGGGATGGTCATGAGTTGGTCATGTGATGGTCATGAGATAGTCACGTGATGGTCATGTGATGGTCACGAGATGGTCGTGGGATGGTCATGAGATGGTCATGAGATAGTCACGAGTTGGTCACGAGATGGTCATGGGATGGTCATGGGATGGTCACGAGTTGGTCATGAGATGGTCATGGGATGGTCATGAGATGGTCATGAGTTGGTCATGTGATGGTCATGAGATAGTCACGTGATTGTCATGTGATGGTCACGAGATGGTCACGTGATGGTTATGAGATGGTCATGAGTTGGTCATGTGATGGTCATGAGATAGTCACGTGATGGTCATGTGATGGTCACGATATGGTCACGTGATGGTCATGTGATGGTCACGAGATGGTCATGTGATGGTCATGTGATGGTCATGTGATGGTCATGTGATGGTCACGTGATGGTCATGGGATATTATAAAACAATGTTTGTTGTTGTTGTAATACTGCTGCTGGCCACCGGATGCACGATCCCCTGTTATACTACAATAACTGTTAACTTACATTAACTAAAGGAGAGACGGTAACAAAACTGCTAACATTAATATATCAACAACATCAGCGGACTTCTGTTTCTGTGAGAAGTATCTTTACATCATCAGTATTAATTAAATTATAAATATTACACCTCTGATCCAGTGATTTATGAACTAACTGTTTCCAGGGAGGATAAACAGGTCTGTGTCTGAGCTATGTGGGTTAGCAGGTTAGCACTGGATCAACTGTAAAGAGGCTATCGAGCTAAACTAGGCTAAGGCTAAAATAGCTGACCTGCTAAATACACACACACACACACACACACACCACACACACACACACACACACACACACACACACACACACACACACACACACACACACAACCACACACACACACACACACACACACACACACACACACACACACACACACACACACACACACACACACACACACACACACACACACACACACACACACACACACACACACACACACACACACACACACACACACACACACACACACACACACACACACACACACACACACACACACACACACACACACACACACACACAGTAATCCCCTGTCAGCTGTGTGTCGGCTCAGTGTGTTTTCTTTAATTACAGCTGGTTGTTTATTATGATCAAAGTGTTATTGATTGCTCTCAGAGTTATGCTAAGCTAACCTCTCATTCATGAATGAATATGATGAATTATTAATCCTGTCCCACCTGAGTCGGGCAGCGTTCCTGGCCCTCGCCCCCCGTCCTGTGTCTCTCTCTCTCTCCCCCCCCCCCCTCACCCTCCGCAGGATGTCCCGCCCGCCCCCTCCGTCCGGACACCTCGGGGGAGACTTCACCATGAAGCCCAGAGAAACACGCTGACAGGAATATCACCAGAGAAGTAGAACCGCGCTGCACTGGCGTACAGAGAAGAAGATAACCCCGCCCCCCTTAAAGAGACAGCGTCCCTTTAGATATTTAAACAGACAGCGTCCTTTTAGATATTTAAACAGCCAGCGTCCCTTTAGATATTTAAACAGACAGCGTCCCTTTAGATATTTAAACAGACAGCGTCCCTTTAGATATTTAAACAGACAGCGTCCTTTTAGATATTTAAACAGCCAGCGTCCCTTTAGATATTCAAACAGACAGCGTCCCTTTAGATATTTAAACAGACAGCATCCCTTTAGATATTCAAACAGACAGCGTCCCTTTAGATATTTAAACAGACAGCGTCCCTTTAGATATTTAAACAGACAGCGTCCCTTTAGATATTTAAACAGACAGCGTCCCTTTAGATATTTAAACAGACAGCGTCCCTTTAGATATTTAAACAGACAGCGTCCCTTTAGATATTTAAAGAGACAGCGTCCCTTTAGATATTTAAAGAGACCAGTGACCCTTAGATATTTAAACAGACAGCGACCCTTTAGATATTTAAACAGACAGCGTCCCTTTAGATATTTAAACAGACAAGCGTCCCTTTTAGATATTTAAACAGACAGCGTCCCTTTTAGATATTTAAACAGACAGCGTCCCTTTAGATATTTAAACAGACAGCGTCCCTTTAGTATTTATAACAGACAGCGTCCCTTTAGATATTTAAAGAGACAGCGTCCCTTTAGATATTTAAAGAGACAGTGACCCTTTAGATATTTAAACAGACAGCGACCCTTTAGATATTTAAACAGACAGCGACCCTTTAGATATTTAAACAGACAGCGTCCCTTTAGATATTTAAACAGACAGCGTCCCTTTAGATATTTAAACAGACAGCGTCCCTTTAGATATTTAAACAGACAGCGTCCCTTTAGATATTTAAAGAGACAGCGTCCCTTTAGATATTTAAAGAGACAGTGACCCTTTAGATATTTAAACAGACAGCGACCCTTTAGATATTTAAACAGACAGCGTCCCTTTAGATATTCAAACAGACAGCGTCCCTTTAGATATTTAAACAGACAGCATCCCTTTAGATATTCAAACAGACAGCGTCCCTTTAGATATTCAAACAGACAGCGTCCCTTTAGATATTCAAACAGACAGCATCCCTTTAGATATTTAAACAGACAGCGTCCCTTTAGATATTCAAACAGACAGCGTCCCTTTAGATATTTAAACAGACAGCATCCCTTTAGATATTTAAAGAGACAGTGACCCTTTAGATATTTAAACAGACAGCGTCCCTTTAGATATCTAAACAGACAGCGTCCCTTTAGATATTTAAACAGACAGCGACCCTTTAGATATTTAAAGAGACAGTGACCCTTTAGATATTTAAACAGACAGCGTCCCTTTAGATATTCAAACAGACAGCGTCCCTTTAGATATTTAAACAGACAGCGCCCCTTTAGATATTTAAACAGACAGCGTCCCTTTAGATATTTAAAGAGACAGTGACCCTTTAGATATTTAAACAGACAGCGTCCCTTTAGATATTTAAAGAGACAGTGACCCTTTAGATATTTAAACAGACAGCGTCCCTTTAGATATTTAAACAGACAGCGTCCCTTTAGATATTTAAACAGACAGCGTCCCTTTAGATATTTAAAGAGACAGCGTCCCTTTAGATATTTAAACAGACAGTGACCCTTTAGATATTTAAAGAGGCACATCATCCTCTACCTCACTGAATTAAATTATAAAACATGCAACTTTCATGTTTTCACAAAATATTCTTAATCTTTCTCGTTTTTTTTATATTAAACTGAAATTAGAAAATAATAATTAAACTAAGAAAACATTTTATGTGTTTTTGACCAATCAGATCATGTCCTCCGTCAGGACCAATCGGGAGGCAAGATCAACGGGCACAGGGGCTGACATCACTCTCAGTGACACAATCAGAGGCTGAGAGCAGAACACATTGCACTTCCTGTACCGTCACAATAAGAGCTCGTCGGTGCAAAGCTTTTATTGTGAAAGTAATGAACTTCCTGCAGCTGATTCACTCAACAGACTGTTCGACCTCCCATTGGCCCTGCGCTGATAAACACATAGTGATGTCATCAGGTCAGTTGTTACTCAGATCCTACCTGAGTGGGCGTGGCTGTACGGGGCGGGGCTCCCTCCTCCGGTTGGCCCCTCCCCTTGTAGTGCTGGTAACCAAGGTAACCCCCCCCTGTCACCAGGAGAAGGGGGAGGGTCCGGGGGCGGGGCAGGAAGCTGCGACCTGCAGAGAGAGACAGCTGATTGATCCTCTGACTTCCTGTCACTCTGATGTCCCTTGTGTGTTGTTGTTAGTGTTGTTGTTGTGTTGTTGTTAGTGTTGCTGTTAGTGTTGTTGTTTGTGTTGCTGTTAGTGTTGTTGTTGTGTTGTTGTTAGTGTTGTTGTTAGTGTTAACAAAGGTTTAGTTCAGAGACTGTTGGGACGACGCTAACTGTTAGCATGCGGCTTCAACACCACAGAGGTGTTTATTGAGTTATTAATAGATGTTATTATTAACATTTATTAATATATTATTGAGTTGTTATTAATTGTTTTTAATGAGTTGTTAGCATCCCGTTGCTCACGCTGTCTCTCTGACGGAGAGCTTCTTTATGTTAGCGTAAAATAACCCGCTTTGCTTGTGCGCTAGCAGCTAGTTAGCTAGCAGCGTCCCGGGCCTCGCTGCAGGACTCAGCCCCTCGGAGCGCTAGCCGCTTGCTTCAGCTGAGCGCTCAGCTAGCCGCTCAGCTAGCCGCTTCAGCTGAACGCTCTGCTAGCCGCTTCAGCTGAGCGCTCAGCTAGCCGCTTCAGCTGAGTGCTCAGCTAGCCGCTCAGCTAGCCGCTCAGCTAGCCACTCAGCTAGCCGCTCAGCTAGCCGCTTCAGCTAGCCGCTCAGCTAGCCGCTTCAGCTAGCCGCTCAGCTAGCCGCTTCAGCTGAACGCTCTGTTAGCCGCTTCAGCTGAGTGCTCAGCTAGCCGCTTCAGCTAGCCGCTCAGCTAGCCGCTTCAGCTGAACGCTCAGCTAGCCGCTTCAGCTGAACGCTCTGCTAGCCGCTTCAGCTGAGCGCTCAGCTAGCCGCTTCAGCTGAGCGCTCAGCTAGCCGCTTCAGCTGAGCGCTCAGCTAGCCGCTTCAGCTAGCCGCTCAGCTAGCCGCTTCAGCTAGCCGCTCAGCTAGCCGCTTCAGCTAGCCGCTCAGCTAGCCGCTTCAGCTAGCCGCTCAGCTAGCCGCTCAGCTAGCCGCTTCAGCTAGCCGCTCAGCTAGCCGCTCAGCTAGCCGCTCAGCTAGCCGCTTCAGCTGAACGCTCTGTTAGCTGCTTCAGCTGAGTGCTCAGCTAGCCGCTTCAGCTGAGTGCTCAGCTAGCCGCTTCAGCAAGCCGCTCAGCTAGCCGCTTCAGCTGAGCGCTCAGCTAGCCGCTTCAGCTAGCCGCTCAGCTAGCCGCTCAGCTAGCCGCTTCAGCTAGCCGCTCAGCTAACCGCTTCAGCTAGCCGCTTCAGCTAACCGCTTCAGCTAGCCGCTTTAGCTAGCCGCTTCAGCTAGCCGCTTCAGCTGAACGCTCTGTTAGCTGCTTCAGCTGAGTGCTCAGCTAGCCGCTACAGCTAGCCGCTCAGCTAGCCGCTTCAGCAAGCCGCTCAGCTAGCCGCTTCAGCTGAGCGCTCAGCTAGCCGCTTCAGCTGAGCGCTCAGCTAGCCGCTTCAGCTGAGCGCTCAGCTAGCCGCTTCAGCTGAGCGCTCAGCTAGCCGCTTCAGCTAGCCGCTCAGCTAGCCGCTCAGCTAGCCGCTTCAGTTAGCCGCTCAGCTAACCGCTTCAGCTAGCCGCTTCAGCTAGCCGCTTCAGCTAGCCGCTTCAGCTAGCTGCTTCAGCT